TGTTTATTGAACAGAAGTAATGGTAAATTACAAAGAAAATGGACCTTCTGAAATGCAACATCAAAGTAAATGGGAAAATCCTCAAGCGAGTTGGTATGTTTAAACACTTGGGTACGCAGATAACAGTCGGTGTGTGTCTATTTGTGTCCATGTATGTGTCTGTGTGCTTGAGTCTGTGTTTTTGTGTGTCTGTGTGTTTGTCTGTATGAGTTTTGTATGTGACTGTGTAAGTGTGTGTCTGTGAATGCAACTGTGTGTCTTTGCGTGTGTCTGTGTGTTCTGTGGCTGCGCGCGTGTGTCTGCGTGTGCGTGTCTGTGTGTGGCTTCGTGTGTATCTGCGTGTGTTTGTGTGTGTCCGTGTGTATCTGTTTAATAATGTCTGCGCTGTGTGTGCGTTTGTGTCTGCGTTTGTGTCTGTGTATAACTGCCTGTGTCCCTATATCTGTGCGAGTGTGTGTGCCTGTGTGTGTGGTGCTGTGTGCGAATGTGTGTCTGTATGTGAGTGTGTCTGTTGCTGCGTGTGTGTATGTGAGTGTGTCTGTTGCTGCGTGTGTGTATGTGTGTGTATATGTATATCTATGTGTGGGTGTGTGGCAGCATGTGTATATTTGAGTGTGTTTGTGAGTGTGTGCCTGTGTGTGTAAATTTGTGCATGTATGTATGTTTATATGTATGAGTGTATCTGTGTGTGCGTCTGTATGGTGTCCGCGGGCGTGTTGTGTCTGGGTCTGTCTGTGTGTCTGTGCCTGTGTGTGTGGCTTTGTGAGTATCTGTGTGTGTCTATTAAATATTGTCTACGTATGCCTGTGTGTCTGTTTGTGTGTCTGTGTATGGCTGCGTGTGTGTCTCAGTGTGTGTCTGTGTGTGACTATGTATGGTTCTATGTCAGCCCATCCGTCCATCCATACATCCATCAGTCCGTTAGACCATCCATCCATCAGTCCATTAGACCATCCATCCATCAGCCTATTTGACCATCCATCCATCAGTCTATTTGACCATCCATCCATACATCCACCATATGACCACCCATCCATACATCCATTAGTCCCTCTGACCATCCATCCATACATCCACCAGTCCATTAGACCATCCATCCATCCGTCCATTAGACCATCCATCCATACATCCATTAGTCCCTCTGACCATCCATCCATACATCCATTAGTCCCTCTGACCATCCATCCATACATCCATTAGTCCCTCTGACCATCCATCCATACATCCATTAGTCCCTCTGACCATCCATCCATACATCCATTAGTCCCTCTGACCATCCATCCATACATCCATTAGTCCCTCTGACCATCCATCCATACATCCATTAGTCCCTCTGACCATCCATCCATACATATTAGTCCCTCTGACCATCCATCCATACATGCATTAGTCCCTCTGACCATCAATCCATACATATTAGTCCCTCTGACCATCAATCCATACATCCATTAGGCCCTCTGACCATCCATCCATACATATTAGTCCCTCTGACCATTCATCCATACATAGTAGGCCCTCTGACCATCCATCAATACATATTAGTCCCTCTGACCATCCATCCATACATCCATTAGGCCCTCTGACCATCCATCCATACATCCATTAGGCCCTCTGACCATCCATCCATACATATTAGTCCCTCTGACCATCCATCCATACATCCATTAGTCCCTCTGACCATCCATCCATACATGCATTAGTTCCTCTGACCATCCATCCATACATCCATTAGTCCCTCTGACCATCCATCCATACATTCATTAGTCCCTCTGACCATCCATCCATACATATTAGTCCCTTTGACCATCCATCCATACATCCATTAGTCCCTTTGACCATCCATCCATACATTCATTAGTCCCTCTGACCATTCATCCATACATATTAGACCCTCTGACCATCCATCCATACATATTAGTCCCTCTGACCATCCATCCATTCATTCATTAGTCCCTCTTACCACCCATCAATACATATTAGTCCCTCTGACCATCCATCCATACATCCATTAGTCCCTCTGACCATCCATCCATACATTCATTAGTCCCTCTGACCATCCATCCATACATATTAGTCCCTCTGACCATCCATCCATACATTCATTAGTCCCTCTGACCATCCATCCATACATATTAGTCCCTCTGACCATCCATCCATACATATTAGTCCCTCTGACCATCCATCCATACATATTAGTCCCTCTGACCATCCATCCATACATATTAGTCCCTCTGACCATCCATCCATTTATTCATTAGTCCCTCTGACCATCCATTCATACATATTAGTCCCTCTGACCATCCATCCATACACCCATTAGTCCCTCTGACCATCCATCCATACATCCATTAGGCCCTCTGACCATCCATCCATACATCCATTAGTCCCTCTGACCATCCATCCATACACCCATTAGTCCCTCTGACCATCCATCCATACATTCATTAGTCCCTCTGACCATCCATCCATACATTCATTAGTCCCTCTGACCATCCATCCATACATTCATTAGTCCCTCTGACCATCCATCCATACATTCATTAGTCCCTCTGACCATCCATCCATACACCCATTAGTCCCTCTGACCATCCATCCATACACCCATTAGTCCCTCTGACCATCCATCCATCTGACCATGCATCCATCAGTCCATCTGACCATCCATCAATCTGACCATCCATCCATACATCCATCACTCCATCTGACCATCCATCCATCTAAATATCCATTCATCAATAAATCAAGTTATCTATTCACCCACCACCGCGTGTGTGTGAGAGAGAGAGAGAGAGAGAGAGAGAGAGAGAGAGAGAGAGAGAGAGAGAGAGAGAGAGAGAGAGAGAGAGAGAGGAAGATCATTGGTTTCCAAGCACCAGTACAGTAAAACTGCAGGTACAGTATCATAGGCGTGACAGAAAGACTCACCTTTGGGGCACACCGTTACTATCTATATATACAAACAACCAACTAATCACATCGAACAAAACACAAATAGAGAAAGATCGCCCTTGGCTATGACCACACTTATTATGTGTTTAATCGTGACTACATACCAAGTTTGTGTAGTCCCACCCACGCTTATTTATAAACGCCCAAGCTAATATAGGATAGTCAATGCTGATAATAGACAAATATGTTACAGCAGTTGTCTCTCCAAATTCCATTGTTGTGGGTGAGAAACCGGGTTAATCAAGACACCTTTACGGGTTTGTCTAGTCGATAGAGTTCGTGGTTTGTTTCAGGGAAGCGATCTCGTTAGTTCAAAGTATAATGTTTGAATTCCTGTGAGGCCATATATCATATACATAGCTGCCAACATTTATTTTGTCTTCTCCTTCCACACAGAGCTTGCAAAACAAGCAATGCATTCTCCTTCCACGCAGAGCTTGCAAAACATAAACCATCCCTTCTCCTTTCACACAGAGCTTGCAAAACATAAACCATCTCCTTTCACACAGAGCTTTCAAAACATAAACCATCTCCTTTCACACAGAGCTTGCAAAACATAAACCATCCCTTCTCCTTTCACACAGAGCTTGCAAAACATAAACCATCTCCTTTCACACAGAGCTTGCAAAACATAAACCATCTCCTTCCACACAGAGCTTGCAAAACATAAACCATCTCCTTTCACACAGAGCTTGCAAAACATAAACCATCTCCTTTCGCACAGAGCTTGCAAAACATAAACCATCTCCTTTCACACAGAGCTTGCAAAACATAAGCCATCCCATCTCCTTTCACACAGAGCTTGCAAAACACAAGCCATCCCTTCTCCTTTCACACAAAGCTTGCAAAACATAAACCATCCCTTCTCCTTCCACACAGAGCTTGCAAAACATAAACCATCTCCTTTCACACAGAGCTTGCAAAACATAAACTACCCTTCTCCTTCCACACAGAGCTTGCAAAACATAAACCATCCCTTCTCCTTTCACACAGAGCTTTGCATATATTATTATACACTGTATGTTTTGCTCACACAAACAAAGTTCTTTGGTCATGTGATGAGAAAAGGAGCACTTGAAGATATCCTGACAACTAGAAAGATCAGTGGTAGAAGATGCAGAGGCAGACCAAGAAAAACGATGATGGATGGCTTAAGACAGTGGCACAGAGGAATATCATCATTGGAATTGATGCAGAACACCAAAGACCGAGATCTGAGGAGACGCATGAACGCCTATGCCAGCTGTCAAAGCACTTGAAGATGTTACTCTGCTTCTTAAATGACTTACATGATGTAGACTATACCTTCTCCTCCACTAGAACTCACATACCTTAACTTCTGGCAGTATGCAGTGTTATGTCTTTCGGTTCTTTATTAATATCCTACCCCCAGATGACGTCATAGGACAGTCCAACATTTTAGAGGGTGGTAAGACTGGGATACCCGGCTTTCTGATGCTTTTAAAGACCCCAAAACATCTAGAACTGGGCCTAATCCTAACCCACCTACGTAACACGAGAGAGTGCAGCCTAGGTCCCACGACTGCATGCAGCCTATCTACCACCCCCTGAAATATTAGACTGTCCCAGGACCTGTGGATTTCCCTTGTTTGGGGTAAGATATTAATAAAGCACCTTTTTTCAGCTGTGTTATAGCAGATAATGTATTTGAGTACCGGTACTTTTGTTTTATACACCTTTTTATACACTTTGTGGTAAGCAAGCACTTCCCTTTTTCTTATGGAAAAAAAAACTATCTTCTTCTCCGTTAGAGCTTACGTAACATATATTGAACTTTATCCTCGACTAGAACTTACTTAATTTAGATAATATTTTCTCCTCCACACAGAACGTGTTCACAGATCTGGAGATCCTCGCAGCAATATTCTCCTGTGCAATCCATGACGTTGATCACCCAGGGCTGACAAACCAGTATCTGATTAATACCAGTAAGTGTGTCTAATGGTTCGGATATATATATCAAACTATTGCACGATAGTGCACCATAAAGAGCCAATCCACTTAGATACAGCCGCGTCTATTGTGGAGAAAACAAGAATAGACCCACTGCCTCCTCTACAAACATGTTGTAAGAGTCAACCAACTGGAAGTTTCCTTCAAAGTCAGAGTGCATCTGTCTGAGAGGCAACAAAACGAACCAATAGACTGTATACAAAAAAGCCAAATCTTTTAAATGGATGTGCACGCAACACTCATGTTCTGGAACAAGACTACAGTTCACAGGTGGACGAACAACCATAATTTTCCGGTCAGAGTTTACAGCCAGTAAAGCCAAAGAAGAAGAAGAATACAAAGGGAGCAGATCTAGAGGTCGACCATGAAAAACATGGATAGATGGAATATCCAAGGCAATGGTTACCTGCTTCAGGCATCAAGGAAGCAGACCCAAATACTTGCACTGCTGCCTCTGTTAAACCTGAACCTCAAAACAAATGGTTTGCCAACTCAGAGAGAATGCCTTGTGATCCCATACCATACAAAACATACACCAAAAGAGAAGAAGGACACAGAGCATGAGGTAGACCAAGAAAATTATGGAAAGATGAAATCAGAAAAACTATGTGTCTGTAGTCAAAACAGCCTGAAGAACAAAAATCAGAACCTTATGTCTCCCTTGACACATCAAACAGTAACAGAGAAAGTGAAGAAGAAAAGTCAAAACATGGGCAATCAAATATAATGTAATAAATTATTACTCTTTTCAAACCCTAATTTTAATTTCTATCTTTTTTTTTCTGCTTTTTTTAGGCTCTGAGCTGGCACTGATGTACAATGATGAATCAGTTTTAGAAAACCACCATTTAGCGGTGGCTTTCAAGCTCTTGCAAGAAGATAACTGTGACATTTTGGCCAACCTCAGCAAAAAGCAGAGGCAGTCTTTAAGAAAAATGGTTATAGATATGGTAAGTGGCTGTACAGATGTACTAAACCAAGTCATTTTCTCTAAGTATGTTTGCGTCGTTGTCTTGAAATGTGTTTGCAATTCAGCTATTGTCCATAAAATTGTTTTAGATTGAGCCATTACCCCTTAATCAGTTTTAGATTAAGCCGTTGCCCCTAAATAAATTTTAGACTGAGCCATTTTCCCTAATGCCCTGACAATCTAAAGGCTTGCCAAAGGCTGAGAACATAGTCTAAAAAGTGTTCTTCAATCTATAGACAGCAGCCCAATGGTTGGCCCCAGAAGAGTCCATTTCTGTAATGGGGAAGACTTGGAAGATTTTGGATTATTAAAAAAAATAAAAAAAAAATTGAAAGTCAAGTCAAGAAAGGAAAGTGAAAATAGAAAACTGAATGAAAATATTAACCTCAGATGCAGTAAAGCAAACCAAGTATTGAAACAGGTATTCCCCCCCCCCCCCCCCCCCCCCCCCCCCCCACCCCCCACCCTAGACTTTCCTATTGAAACAGAAAGTGGTAGTTTGTCCACTTCTAGGATTGCAGTCTGTATGATTAAAACCTTATGGATGAGAATTAAACAAGTAAAAATGTTGTTCAACATACAAAGCTTGCACATAAAGACACTGGCTGAGTGAATTTATTGCAGCAGTTTTTCTATTAAAATTAACACTCCAGCCAAGCGTATCAGCAGCAGCAGATGTCAGATTAGCTGAAAATTGTAATTTTGTGACGTCAGTTTTAACAAATAAGCTGCCATCTACGTTTATTTGTTTCTGTGTTCGGCTAGCTGTCAGATAGGCTGGCTGACAATATTCTCCAAGTTGGTGGGCCACAGATGAGAAAAGGTTGAGTAACGCTAGTCTCAAGTCATGTGGATGTGGAAAGCAAGGGGAAACTACCATATTAGTATCCCAAGAAGCTTATTCTGGACTTAAACATCATTAAATGTCAATGGTCTAAGCAATAGTAGGAAAATCAAATTTTCAGACCATAAATCTTCCTTGTAGAAACATATGGATGTGAGTCATAAACTATCTCGCACACCTTAAGGAAGAAAATGAGGGCTTTTGAGCTGAAATTCTACAGAAAGATTCTAAGAATACCCTGGACAAAAAAGAAAAGAAATACTGATATTCTAAAATATCCGAACCTCAAGGAAGATTGGCTAATAAACAGCCTCTTGTCTTGGAAGCTGAAATATTTTGGCCACATCAAGCACCTCAGTGGATTGGAAAAAATTATAGCAGGAGACATGGTAGCAGGAAGAAAGAGCAGGAGCTGACTAACATGAATATGGGCACAGGACATAACTGACTTCTTGAATATGGGAGTACATGAGGTGGGAGAGCTGGGAAGCTGAGTTGAGTTGAGTATAGAATTGACATCACAGCACTCGGGGCATTCCCATGTGTTCTCTGTCCTCATCTTCAGCAGCCAGCGCAGAGTTTCAATTTCGATGGTGCCGGTCACAATCTGGTTTTATGTCCGATTTGCCTTTCCCCTGAGTGTAGTGAGCCAGCCAGACCCTCTGGTTACACCCATGTGCCTCATTCTCTTCATGTCATAATAATCTTGTTTCTCTACTGATTCTGTTGCTTTTTCCCAAAGAGCCTTGACCACATCTGCCTTGTCATTTTGAGGCAAAGGATTAACAGAGACAATGGCTTAGTTTAAGAAACACATTTAAGGACAATAATGGTGAGAACTTAGAAGAGACCAAGTCTCTTTCTAGAAGACTGTGATGAGAGCGACGTTTTGCAAAGGATCTGCTACATGGTGATGATTATCCCTAAATGTGTTTCTTAAACTGAGCCAGTCACTGTTGATACTTTGCCACAAAATATGTTCTGGACTGAGCCAATGCCTCTATTGAGCCACCATCCCTAAATATGTTTTGAATTGAATTATTGTCGGTCATTATGTTTAAAATCTATTCTCAATTAATGTACATAAAGCTGTTTTTGATCTACATTAGACACAATCATTGTCTAATTGATCAATTTATTTAACAGTCATATGGCCCAGGCTCGCTAGCGTAGTTGGCTAAACCGGATTTCGCAGCGACCGGGTGATGAACTCCTTGTGGTCAGGGTCCACGCCCTGGGGTTGGCAGAAAAGCCACAATTCTCCCAAATTTACGGTATCTATCATGGAATCAAGGCCGAAGGGTTGCGATATCCATAGTACCGAGCCAAAGGGTTAACATTAACAACTCATGGTGCCTGAATGCTTGAAAAAACAATCAGTTAGATGCAATCATTGTCTTTATATTAAATGTGATGAACTCATTTACTTTAGATTAAATATGATGAAATCATTGTCTTTATATTAAATGTGATAAATTCATTGTCTTTATATTAAATGTGATGAACTCGTTGTCTTTATATTACATGTGATGAACTCATTGTCTTTATATTAAATATGATGAACTCATTGTCTTTATTTTAATTATATGAAATCATTGTCTTTATAATAAATATGATGAAATCATTGTCTTTAAATTAAATATGATTAACTCATTGTCTTTATATTAAATGTAATGAATAATGACAGTGGTGAGTTATTTATAAATGATTATTCTGACCTGTGCCAGGTGTTAGCGACAGATATGTCCAAGCACATGACCCTGCTCGCTGACCTGAAGACAATGGTGGAGACTAAGAAGGTAGCAGGATCAGGTGTTTTATTGTTAGACAACTACCAAGACAGAATTCAGGTGAGATCAAGTTTGTGTTGACTGGCTGGTTAGTTAACTGACAGCCGGATGTTGACATCAAAGATGTCAGCAAATAATTGAGAATTTACTTAAGACATTCTTACCCAGGAAGGCAGTTAATAATAAACTACAAACATTCATTAACTGGTGCCTGGGCAGAATAGAAGGAATTAAATGATATGATAGAATCAATAATGTAGAGCTTTAGGAGAGAACTAAACAAGTTCCAGTGGACCAAGTGGTGAAAAAAAGATGTTGGTGTTGGATAGGACACACGCTGATAAGAAGCAGAAGACCCAGGAAGAATCTTTGACATGCTTGTCGGTTGCTTCTTGAATTTGAAGTGTTCTTACTTTAATGGTTGATTGGCTGACTGTTGCTTGGATTTTTTAAATTTCTTGACTGGTTATTTTCTTGGATGGTTGAGTGATTAGCTGATTGGTGATTAGCTGATTGGTTGGTTATTTGATTAGTAGATTGGTTAGTTATTTGAATAGTTGATTGGTTGGTTATTTGATTAGTTGATTGGTTGGTTATTTGATTAGTAGATTGGTTGGTTATTTGATTATCTGATTGGTTGGTTATTTGATTAGTTGATTGGTTTGGTATTTGTTTGGTTGGCTGATTATATGTTTATATGCTTGTATGGTTGATTGATTGATTAGTTGATTCCATGTGTGGGTTCGAAGGTCCTATTGTGTGGGGGCAGGAGGGGGGAGAGATAACAGACTCACTGCCCTCCTTACCCCCTCCAAGAAGCATGTCATTCAAATTAACTAAACGGCATTGTTTCTTTCAAAGTCAGAGTGCATCTGCCTGAAAGGTCAGGAACCAGCAGTCTGTTTACAAATAAACCATATCTGTAAAATGATGTGTTCTGAAACAAGACTGAAGTCCAGAAGTGGACGAACAACCAGAACTTCCTGCTTCTTTTGGAAATTAGACCCAGTCCACTGCCTTGATAATCAAGCTCACTAATTATTTCTGCACAATAATTCTCCCCATGTGGGTTCTGGGGTCCGTTGATGAAGAGGAATGGATCCACCCCCACCTCCTAACAAGTTTGTCATAAAAGGCAACATGGAAGTCTGTGTGTATCTAATTGAGCAGCAAGGAACAAATGGTATATGTACAAATAAGTCAGGGCTGTAAAATAGGTATACACACAAAAGTCAAATCCTGGAACAAAACCAAAGTCCAGAAGTGGACAAACAGCCAGAATATTTCACCAGAGTTTACAGCCTGTGAATGCTGAACAAAAGAAAAAAATAATGATATTCTGTTATTCCTTCAGGTGCTTCAGAATATGGTGCATTGTTCGGACCTCAGCAACCCCACTAAGCCCCTGGAGATCTACAAGACCTGGGTGGACCGGGTGATGGGGGAGTTCTTCAGACAGGGAGATCTGGAGAGACAGCAAGGGCTGGACATCAGTCCCATGTGTGACCGGCATACGGCAACCATTGAGAAGTCACAGGTCAGTGGTCATTGTTGGTTTTCTTAGTGGTTCAGTAGCCTCTGCTGATCCGTTCATTTATTTCTTCATTTCATTTATTCATTATTTCATTTATTCATTCTTTATTTCTTTCATTCTTTATTTCTTTCATTCTTCATTTCTTTCATTCTTCATTTCAAGCATTATTTCAATAATTTATTTATTATAAATTCATTTTTTATTCATTCATTTATTATTTACTAGTTTTTCATTTAATTCATTCTTCCTTTTGTTAATGCATTTGTTATTTATTCATTCTTAATTTTATGCATTCTTTGTATTAGATATTCTTCATTTTGTGCATTCATTCACCAATATATTCATTTATTTATAATACCATGCTTTCTTTATTTTATTTATTCATCAATTAATTTAATCTCATTCATTCATTCATTTTATTTATCAGGCTGATATATAACAATATAAACCACCCATCTACATTCTTACCATCCCCAGGTTGGCTTCATTGACTACATCGTTCACCCTCTTTGGGAGACGTGGGCTGACCTTGTCTACCCAGACGCTCAAGAAATACTGGACACACTGGAGGACAACCGCGACTGGTACCACTCATCCATCCCAATCTCTCCCTCCTCCAGCTTCTGCAGCACCAAGCAGGATGACGATCACGAGAAGTTCCAGTTCAGCGTGGAGGAAGGTGATGAAACTCATAGTCAGAGCAGTGCTGAGAGTGAACAGTCGGTGATACGGGTCCAGGAGCCGCCTACAACAACGACAACAGAACAGGAATCTTCGCCATCATCGCCATTGTCATCGTTACCACCTTTGCCCACTTCCTTTCAAGCTGCTGCAATAGATTCTTCGAAAACCACCATGAACTCAGTTCACCACACGTCCTTCTCCACCATCCAGAGCTATAGTGATATGGAATCCTCCAGCAACAAATCAATAGATCATGACAAAAAGTGATGCCAAACTGGATGACCTTTGAACTTACCTGCCAGGTTTTTTATTTTGGGGGGAAGGAGTTAAAAAAAAATAGATGTTACATTTTTAATCGCCTGTTTGTCACTTCAAATTCGCGACAAATTATTTTATACTCGGGGTAGCCTACCATGAAGATCACACAACATTTAACAATATGATCACTGCATGTGACAAGATGGAGGATATAAGTGACATTGCAACTGCTGCTTCTGTTGAAATCATCAAGTAGGGCATTTCTTGTAGCTTGGAGATTGTGATTTTATTGGTGATTTAATATCGGAGGTCTTCTGATGGCAACTGTGGTTAGGAGAAGAAACATCATCCCCAAGGGGCAAGATGATGAAACAAAATTATGATAATTCTGAGAAGTCACTCTGAGAATGTCACTCTGAGAATGTCACTCTGAGAATGTCACTCTGAGAATATGTCACTGGGTATATTGCAGAGTATGAGTATATGACACTGGAAATATGTCACCCTGGAAATATGTTACCCTGAAAATATGTCACCCTGGAAATATGTCACCCTGGAAATATGTCATACTGAGAATATGTCACCCTGAGAAAATGACACCCTGGTAATATGTCACCCTGAGAATATGACACCCTGGAAAAATGTCACCCTCGAAATGTGTCACCCTGGAAATATGTCACTCTGGAAATATGTCGTACTGAGAATATGTCACTCTGAGAACATGACACCATGAGACATCATCCCCTCAGAGCTAGACAGTAGGCAATCTTATTAATAAGACAATGAGAATATGGCACTCTAACAAATCTTTCACTCTGGGCTCGTCAAAAGACAATATTTTATTAATTCTGAAAATAAAACACCTTAAGAATGTGACACTATGGAATATAACACCTTGAGAATATGACACCTTGAGAGTTTGAAACTTTAAGGCATCTTGCATCTGAGGTTAGTCAAGACACAAACATTGTTATAACCCTGATAATATGAAACCCTAAGAAGATGACACTATGAGAATCCAACACATTGGGAGTTTGACTTCCTGAGAAAATGACACCCACAGATTATGACACCTTGAGATAAAAACACCCTGAGACATTATCTACATATGAATACACTGTTGTGATTACCCTGAGAATGACACCCCGAGAATGACAACCTGAGAATATGACACTCTAAGATTATGACACGTTTTAAAAATCCTCATATAAACTTTGTTTTTACACAAACAGACACACGAATCACTGGAGGTGTTTTATTCGCAGGTAGTAGTTAGAATATTAATTTCAAGGCCTGACTGTGATAGCTTTGTTTGGCATGTACAGATCTCATAGGATGATTTTTCTGATGAAATTATTCTTCAGATAAAATTCAATCAGCCGTTTGAGGTGAAGCACGTCTTGTTGTACTGCAGATGATGTGAAGTGAATTTTTATTTGACAATGCAGTGGACAAGACTAAGTTTTTTTATTTATATTTGTTGTAAATACTGTTATCTTTGACTTATTACGAATGAAGGAAACTGCTTTCAAGCACTAAACTTGTCCGTTTATTTCTTCACTTCAGCTGAGAATATAGTATGATGTAATAATGCTGATAAATGACTTTGACTCCCAGGTCAATCCAGTGTTAAGTGGGTACCAGGTGCGGTCACGGGAAAGTAAAGGTGGCTGGCGTGATGCTGACCACATTACCCATCTTGTGCCGATTGGTCTATAAAAAATATAGGTCTAACCCTATATGCCCTATCCGCCTAAAGGCGGGGAAAAGGGACCTTTACTTTTTGTTGTTTTACGCATAATAATGTTGATAAGAAAGATACTTGGAGAATAGAGGATGGTAGAGTACCTCAGTCTTGGAAATCCCAAAACACATCCTCATTGCTGAATTGCAAATGGGTAGAAGATTTTGAGGTTGGCTTCTGCAATGATATTTTTTTAAGGTGTGTGTGAGTGGGACACAAATGGTACAGGTACTGAGGTAAGTACAGGAACCTTTTCCGCACTTTCAGGTGAATTCGGCATACAGGGCTGGACCTATATTTTATCGACCAATCGGCACTTGGTGGGCAATGTGGTCAGCCTCACAGGAGCCATCTTTACTTCCCAAGTGAATACCTGGTACCCACTTAAGGCTGTGTTGACCTGGGAGGCAAGGTGATTTTTGAAAGAAAATCCAGTTCCATCGGGACCTGAATCCATGATTTTCTGATCCACAGGCGAGCATCTAGCGGCTTCACTATGGCGGCTGCCAAGTACTGAGGTAGATTCATGGAAAAAGTTTGTCATGGACCATGTTTAATGTAGGGAGAAAATCAGGAAGGGAAAAATGGGTGAAGGAGAGCATAATAGCCGATAGATTGAGAGACATAGTGCTGAGCATAGAAGAAAAAGCATATCAAACACACATAAGAGCAATGGGCCTGAAATCCCATGAGATCATTATAGAAGATCCCCGTGTGGGTTCTGGGGCCCTATTTTAGGGAAAACAAGAATAGACCCACTGCCTCCCCGACAAGCATGTCATAAGTGTCCACTAATTGGAGGTTTCCTTCAAAGTTGGATTGTATCTGCCTGAAAGGCCAGGAGCAGACATTCTGCATACATATAAGTCATATTTGTAAAACCATGTGCACGCAACACTCAGGATCTGGAACAAGACTAAAGTCCAAAAGTGGACAAACAACCAGAACTTTCTGCCAGAGTTTACAGCCGGTGAACATGAATAAGAAAAAGAAGAAGAAGAAGAAGAAACACATATGATAACAAGTCTCATGATCTTATTATGGGAGAATTTTCTGAAATGCCCGGGTCTTGCTAGTCACACTCATTAACACCACGGGCTGTGATTCCAATGACTCCTAACAGCACAATCAAACACTATTGTGTGGAAAGACAGAAATTTCCAACAACATTATGAAATATATTTTTGAATACAGTTTGGCTAATTATAATGGCTAGAATAAATCTGAAAGCAAATTTAGACATAATAAATTTGCTGATACTTATAGAATATTTGAATATAAGTTCAAGAGATGCAGTTTGAAGTGGTTAAAGTCAGTTATTATGGTATATCAGGTGTGCATGATTTCCAGTGTTGTAGTTTCAAAAATATTGTCAATATTTTTAATACTTGCAAAAGAATATTATAGATACATTTTATGGCTGGAAAATGTAGAATTGATAGAAAAATATTACAGCTTGGGTATTATATTTATTAGTCATGTGGATGTATGTGAGGTATATTTCTTAATGATGAAAAAATGGTGACTGCATTTGAATTGCGTGCCATTCCAACTTGTTCCCGCTCTGTGGCATCCAATAAATGATTTTTTTTTTGACACCTGAAGGTTTGAAATCCTGAGATATGTATGGCAAACCTTCAGTGTCAGGGTGCATCTGCCTGAGAGGTAAGGAACCAACAGTCTGCACACAAACGAGTCAGATAGGTGAAACAGATGTGCATGCAACACTCAGGTTCTGGAACAGGACTGGAGTCCAGAAGGTGACAAATTACCAGAACTTTCTGTCAGAATTTACAGTCCATAAACTCGTAGAAGAAGGATGACAGACCAACAAACCAGATTCTAGATGCCCCCTTCAACATCGAAAGAAGTGATAATTGGAGTACCTGTAATAGGTAAATCATGCAGACCACATCATAAATGATGAGGTTTGTGGTAAAATTACCCACCACCTTGACAACTATGAACCTCTTTTAGTCCATGGTGAAAAGACGGAATATGCAGTAGTTATAGTTACTTGTGTATCCTTTACAGGATGTTGCAGAACCAACATCAGCATTTTTTGGCTGTTGTGGTTTCTCTAGGCAAATTTTCATCCAGTAGTTTGCCATTGGTTTTTGGACACAACTTTCTCAATACCACTGTCAAAACCAATGCAAGGCGCAAGGCCCGCAGATGGGATAGAACCCGGCACCCCGGCTTTATGAAGCAGTAGTACAGACAATTAATAATATGTAACGACCTCTCAAAAACAATACTACAGGGCTCTGTGGAAGGGAAAAGGAGAAGAGGCAGACGACGAAAGACCTGGATATAGAATTTGACTGACTAAGCAAGCCTTAGGTATGCAAACATGAAGTCCATTGCAAGTGACCGTCAAAGGTAGAGGGTACTGATCAGTCAGTCAGTCCGCAGCAACTGGTGACCCAATGACAGACAGTGTTGTTGGATGATGGTGAGAATGTAATGGCCTAATAGGTTGGTGTAACCTGCAGCTCTCTGCAGGTAAGGATGTATAAACCAGTCAAACTAGCATCAAGAAGTAACCTAACAAAACAATGGCATTTTCAGAACACAACGATCCCTTTTTAATCATCATCACTCAACAGGTCCTTCACACTAGCTTTCTTCCCAGCATGCTATCTTTATAGTCTTGTATCCACCTTTGAGAAGATCTGTCTCTGGGTCCTTTTCTGGAATCTGTGCCCTTCTTCACAGTTCTTTCCAGGCCAACACGATGTTAAACCAGGCCAAAATACCTCAGCTGTTGGGATAGGATGCTGGTCATGAGTGACTTCCCCTTGATGCTTAGATTATTTATGATGTCTGTGATTTTCTTATTCTTGGTCTAGGATATTTTTATCAGACACAAGTTTTAATCACACTGATTTTTAATTTAAATATGTTTATTTCTTTCCCTGTTCCTTCTTTTATATTTTGTTCATCATCATGTAGCAGGTCCTTTGCAGAACGTCGCTCTCACTACAGTCTGCCTGAAAGAAACTCGGTCTCGTGCCAGTTATCCCGCCTCATATACTTTCATGCTCAAGGAGTCATATCCTGTGCCCATCTTAGTGTTGGTTGTTCAAAACAATTCTTAATACATACCAGTTTTTTCCCCAGTGCTGCTCATTTCCATGTAACCTTCTCAGTTGTTTATGGCTCTGCTGTTTTGACAGTTGATAACGAGTCTGGCTGAAATGTTCAGCTGTATTTGTTGTGTGTATTTCATTTTCCTGTGCGGCTCTGTGACGAAGAAATTAAT